AAATGAATTATCCGTTTAACTGCTGAAACAAAAGTGCGTCGGCTGGCGTAGCAGTAAAGCGGATGGGGTCAGAATGACGCTTCAGTTGTATGACAGACCGTTAAATGTAGCCCAGGATGAACAACTAATTCAGTAACAGGGTCTTCAATTAGCAAAGTTGGATGCTGTAATAACCGAAACGTAGACGATATATTATTATTCTCTGTCGGCTATTATATAGGGAGTTCGCTTCGCATGTACGGGTTTATTGTAGAGAGAAGACGTATAAGGCGTTGTTGCGTTAATCAACATTATTGAACGGCAGCTTAATTGGTTTGCGAAATTAAATACTTTAGAAATAGTCTATATGCTGATAAATGTTTATTAGCCTCATTTTCGTGGTCGTTCTACCCTTCATAAAAAACTTTATAATGTCATCAACGTATTTTGTTGAAACATACATAAGATGTTACTGACGTTTATTGGGCTATAAAAATAATAATAATGTCTCTATTGCAAAATAGCAAATGGCAACGTTTTGTCTTACACTTTACTTACACTTAAACAGTTACCAGAAATAGTCAAACATAAAAAAATATAATTAATCAATCCAAAAATGAAAAAGAGAAAACACACAAAATAGCAAATACGGCTTGTTTAGATTATAATTTTTAATTGCGTTGTAAAACAAAACTTCTACTGTAATAGATGCAACTTATTTACATGACCTAAATATGCAATATTTAAAAAATAGACTTCTTCAACTACATGCAGTTGTACAAAGTTAAAAGAAAAGGGTATAATCTACAAAAGCGATGAGAACATTTGCTGGTAACAGCTAAAGGATTTGAGAAAAATGTTGTCTCAGCGAACGCAGAGACAACATTTGTCCTTATTAGATGTTGTGTATATATACACAGAAAAATTGAAGCTTCTTCCTATGTGATTTTTAAGTTAATTAAATCTAGACACTTAGTTTTAGAGGTCTTTGCGGTGAAGTGTTATAACAAAATTCCCACAATATAACATGGATAACACTAGAACGTTTATATATTTACCACATAAATTTTTTGTTTGAAGATAATATTTCGTTATTCCAGAACTTTTTTCAATCTTGCTTTCGTTTGTTTTCCTGATGATTATTTTGAAACACACATCAAATACTAACCTAAACTAACCAAAAGTCTAGTCAGTGACTATTCATTAACCTGTAAGTAATTTACGTAAACAATAATTATTACAAATAACATCATAAAAATATCTCTCACTTTTGTTTATCAGAGACAAAAGCAAAAAGCGAATTCCAAAATATTTTTTAAATTTGAGCGGAGAGTTTGGTTTTATCTCGAATACTGAAAACAGAGAGCTGTTTCAGATCGCCATTCATATTACTGTAAATAGTAAAAGGAAGAGACTTATTTATCCACAAATCTTAAATCCGCATTAGTTTGCCAATACCTGAAAGTAATTTTAATACCTAGCTGGATTGGTTTATAATAACTTGTGTAGAAAAATTATCAAACCAATCTAATTCAATTAAATATATCAAGCTATGGATAATAAACGATAGACATTTTAAATTTTATTATTATACATATAATAATAATAAAGGTGTCATGGATTTATTTATTTATATATTTTTGTTAAATAAATAAATAAACTGTAGCCAGATAAAACATTTGAAATGAATCTCATATATAATCTCATATATAATTATTCTTTTTTTAATTGTCAAAGCCCTCCTTTTAGTAAGTGTCAATTGGTAATTCATTATTTATTTGCTTTTTATTTGAAACTCCCCCTGAAAATTGAATCTTGACATCATAGAGCAAAGCGTGCAGCAAAATGAAATTCGGTCGTTTTTAGTTCGACTGAGTTTTCGAACCGACAAGTTGGGAACTCTAGCGAAAAATTTAGTACGATTTATGCATAAAAAGCAAAACGAAATGGACGTCGCAAAGTGGAAGAACACTTTAATCCCGACCCCCTACAAACTCCAACTGTCCGGCGTAAGTGAATTATAGACGGTATACGATTCCTCGATTAGAATATTTATATTGAATTCGCAAATCCCGTGAACTGAAACGTATAAGTGTAAAATATTATACGTTTGAAAACGTGGACCGGAACGGACGACAGCTATCAGTAATTAATGTCTGGGCTTGTTTGATTTGCCAAGTTAATAACGCAACTGCCAGATGGCGCCAAACAAATAACACATACGTCACCGGTCATTATATAGGACCGCGTATATACGGGTGCTGAGGTGCGAAACAGAGAGACCAAGAGACGACGGTGCTCGTTTCTGTTCTAGCTCTGGCCGCAGCAATCACCTCCGTGATATATGATGTAATAATGTTGCAAACATATGTGCCTCTTTAGCCGATAACGCTATTGCTATTGATACCGTCTAATCAACTCGACTAATGAAGAAAAGCATATGTCGCTCCGCGTTCCCAAACTAATAATTATCATTTCATCAACATACGTGTTTATTTTAGTCGCCGCGTTGATTCTTTCCATTATTACTTTCATTAGGTCTGCACGGCGGATAATGTTCCAATTTATTTGTTGGAAACCCTTAAAACTCAATGCCATAGATTTGACAGATCAGATTTTTAAAATGTGACGTGCTTATTTCTGCTTTTTTAGATTCTTATATGGTCAGTGAGAAAAATATTTAACTCCGGGAAGTGGGTTGGTACCGTCAGATGTAGAAAATTCCTCGACATTTCTATATTTCCTGAAAATATATAAATTTTTGTCCCAAATTCAAATTCAAATAGTTAAAAATAACAATTGAATAATAATAATAATAAATATTAACTGTCTCAATGTAAGTCCCATAAATTTTGGAAAACATTCAAAAATCCGAAATGTTTTTATATATTTTTTCCACTCTTATTTAATATAATGTAGAATCGAACAATGGACAATATGGTACAAAATTAAATAAAATTAAAGATCAAAATCAACAACAATATGGATTCAGAAAATAGTGAGTGCAATAATTAGGGATGGAGCTATAAAAAAATAATCAAATATATGTATGATGCGAATTGATTATTGTTCGGAAATACTATAAAAAAATGGAAAACTTGAACTAGCTATTTCAACCCTGTTAAAATTCAATAAATAAAAAAAAATTGTTTATATAAAAATCAATTCATTTGCTTCCCGTTTATGCGAAACATTAGCAGGATTTTTTCCAGGACGATAATATTTTTGATTTAATCCTAATATGTAGTCTAATATCACAATCGTTGCTTTTTCGACGATTTTTATTTCAACCAATTAAAATATCTTTTATAAACATCGTTTGCTACTTCTATTTGTAGCGGTTTTCATATTTCGTCGTGCGTCAGTTTCTTCTGAATACCTAATTAGAATCCATTTTCCATCAATTATCTTCGAGGTTAACGAGAAACCGAAACAATGACAATTCTTCCTCAAACTCCATAAAGTTTAGTTTTTAAAGTTGATGTTTTGAACGAAATCGCAAGAATTACATTAAATATTCTCCATTGTTATTGAATTCTTAGTTCATTTTTTAACATTTCAAAAACAACTCATAACGGAATTTGACTCTGAAACCAAAACAACGATTATTGTCTGTTGTTGGTTGTAGTAACTTTTTAGTTTGGTAAGTTTATTTATTTAGTGTTCTTCAGTTTTTTTTGGCAGTGTATGATTCCATCCTATGCTCCCACTTCTACGCAGCTCTTAGTTCATTTTTTATTATTCCATAAATATTGCTCGTGGAACTTGACTTTTTGCGATGGTGAAGAAAATATCTGAGCCACTTTTTTAAAAATTTCACAATTCCAGGATCTGGTTAACAAGAAATCAAAACACACATTATATTAATATTTTTTTCTTCCTTTCGTATTATTCTCGGTTGTTGGTATTAATAACCTTTTACTTTCGTAAGTTTCGAATATTCCTCTAAAATCATTCATGATTACTTTCCAATTTATTTATTGTTCCGAACTCAGTAATTTTTATTCCATATATTTACCATTCCATAAACAATTCGCAGTGGATGTCAACATTTTTCAAAAAACATTAGAGGTAAATTCCATGGATCGGGCGTAACGTAAAACTAATAGGGAAAACAATCAGGTAGATGCGTCAAACAAAAACACTTCTACAATATATGCCAAGACCCGATGATATATACAATTGTAGAAGCTCGCCTAAAGCTAACGCTAAAAAAAATCAAACAAGAGCCCTACCACGGCCGGGCTGTTATTTCTCAAATTCGTTTGTCATTTATTTTCCTTTTGCGAAACGAACCGTACGATACAAAGAACGAAAATATTTTCCGACCATTGATTCCCCGAGGCTATCGAGCTTTCGATACAATTACGGGAATAAACAAATGTAGCGGCGATTTACCTTCAGGCAATAACGTCCCCCCTTTGGGAAAACTTCGGTTTTATTTGTTTTGGTTTTTGTTTTCTTATTCGGTACGGTATTGCCTAAATCGCGAGGTAATCACGAATATATTAATATATATATACGTACGGACGATCTGAATTAATTTCCCGGTACAATCCCGACATATGTCGACTTGATACTATCGTTTATATCACGTCGAGACCTCGTTTATGACTTGTAAACGTTTGATTATAAGCGTGTGCCTTTATAGCCGCTAATTAATTCTAATTGGAACGCAAAGATTATTAACAGCGATTCTACATACGTCACCGGGTGTTCCCATATGTTCCAACAACGTGCGAAGTGGTCTCCTTGGTATTAAATTCGCTAACCGTGCGTATTATGTCGCCCGGTGCCGACTAGCATGTTGATGATTTCACGTTCCCGTCGAGTTTACCTATTCAACCCTAATTCGGATCGTAAACACCGATATCCGCACGCTTAAACACCGCCACGACCAATTGTTGATCTCAAATGTTTACTTCCTCCGTCGTCAAACAAACAGCGATAAAGTCGAAATCAACCCTTAAGTTTACCCACCCTCGAGACTATTTTCTAATATTTTCTACGCCTCTACTTACTGCCGCTAAGACGATCCCTCCAGGCGATGGGGTTGAGGCTTTGGATGCCGGGCCAGTAAAGTCCACCCGTGGTCCTTCCCAATTCGACCGGAGGTTTGTTCACGGAATTAGCAGCGTGATGGTGGAAAAAGGCAGCGGCGGCAATGTTAAATCCTCGCAAACTCGTATTGCTAGCGCTCTGGGCACTGTTGGCGGCCATACCCAGCGAATTTTGCGTAAACCCCAAATTATGAGGAAAATGCAACGATCCGGTCGTTATCTGAGACGGTCTGGATAGTATATGGTCGATGCCGTGAGGATTCGCGCCTTGCGAACTATTACTATTACTAGTAGCTCCTAGCGGACTTCTCGACGTCAATCCGGAACGGTCCACGTGCAAGCTAGACCTCTCCAACAACGACTCTGTTTCGCTTTTGTCGTGGTGAAGGTGATCCGATGGACTGAGATGGCCCTGGTGCTGCTTCATCTCCGCCATGGAGTGCAACGCAGCCAACGGTGCCGCTAGCATGTTGCGATGCTCCAAATTGAACAGGCTAAGGTTTTGGTGGCTAGCAAATTCGAGCATTTTCGATACGGGCGGCGGTGGAGTGACTGACACTTCGGAACGATCGCTGGACGCGTCGCTATGTTGCGTCATTGCAACTGGAGACGCCGTGGTTGCTGGATGGTGGACGCGAACTAGCCGCGTCTCTGATATATCTCAGTCCTCAACACGTGCTATTCACTTACACACGCCGCACATCACCACACATCGGTTCGACTCAAAAATGTCCCCGTCTATCCTATGGACAGTTTCGTTGACAATGAACTGACTACGAGCTTTGAAGGGGACTGTGCAACCGACGAGGTGAAATTTTTAGTGGGCGGTGGCAAGGTGACTCGTCGACTACGGCAGTGGGGGGATGTCTATAAACTGAACTGCATGTTAAATATGTGCTACTGTTAAGCTCATTACGGTAGCCTCTATCGCAGTTAGCAATTCGGTGCGTGTCGTGTAGCTGCGTGGTTGCAGTCTGTTCTATTTTTAAAAGAGATTAATGCTTTTTTCATTGGCGGGAAGGAGGACCGCGCAGCTACCGCGCGCGCCATGATTGGCGTTTTAGTCGTTCTCCGGAAACGCCCGCCATTGGTCGCAAGACCGCCCTACCCCCTCCGAATTCTCTAACCCGTATTATCCTTAACGTAAAGCGGGACTCAATCTCTAACGCCGCATCTCCTACTCGTAAAGGCATATATTCGTGGGACGACGGAGTTTCTCTAAAACTCTCTAAAACTCATTTTCACTCACTCTCGGACACATACACACGCGCTTCTTTCGTGTCGTTTACCGCCGATGCCCCGACGTATCCTTTCTCTTTTTCTTATTTCGTTTCGCTTATATACTTACACAAATTAATTGGTCATTTGCGTTGGCGGATTTTTTTTTGTCCAGCGAGCGAAAAAAATCCCATACCTGAAATGAGTCATTCGCGGAAAGTTTCCCAAAAATCGCGCTGTAGGTATCATAGTTCGCCAAGGCTACGTACGCGACAAAATTAATCCGACAACATTGAGCTGAAATCTGATATTCTTCCGGATTTATTTAAATATTTGGCTTGGTCTGCATCCATACGCTTTCGAAGCCAGTTTGTTGCACCAGGAGAGCGACTTCTATGCTCGAATATCTTGTCAAATCAATAACTGGAGGTCATTTTCAATTACCGTAACCAATTCTCGTAATTATGACGTTTTTATTACTGGATAATACTGAATAATAAATATTTTGTTATTCACTTTCATTTTAATCCATTTGTCCAGTTTAAATATATAAGTTTCTTCATCGCATGTATGACAGCAAATTTTATGTATATTACTGATTTGTTATATAAAATAATATTTTTGTTGTAATTATTCGCCTTTTCTATTTCGATATATAACTGAGTTGCTTTTGCAAAATGCCAAAAAATATTGAAAAATGAAATAATGCTTTGCAAATTTGTATTGAAGAAATACTTAGTCGGTAAAACATTTTGGCAGACATTCCTATTCCGACCGATTCTGCAATAGTATTTTTGTTTATTGAATTATTTTCAAAATTTTGTTTTGTTGTTTTTGAAATTACATAGACTCTAGCATAGTAACTGACAATAATATTTTGCATACTTGGGTTAAAGAAGTACTTACTAATTTTTTACATATAGAAGAAATCTTTTTTTTAACTACCACTGTTACCGTTGAGGATTTGTATTTTCATCTATTCAGTAGTAATCAAACTCTTGACTGGAACCTTCGGCACTGTACTAACACACAATAACGCGTTTTACCACAAACCGAAACTCAATTTTACGTATTCGACGCGCGTTTCGCCAACCAAGTTGGCATCTTCAGGAGAAGATTAAAATTAAATTTAATAGAACAAATGTTCTCTGAAGTGGGAGGGGGAATTACGCACTGTTCACGCAACCAATCAGCGCGTATAATGGGCTAAATGGGATTGGACGTCTGTCCTTGTTCAGTGCCTTATTCCCTCTCTTAACAGTTTCTAAGCTTTCGTAGGCATCTAATTTTCTACTATTATTTACATGTTTAAATAATTTTAAATTACTAATATCAACCTTATGATTATTGTTGAACATATGTTCGGCTACACTTGATTTTCCTAATCTAGCAAATTTTAAATGAGCTAAATGTTCCTTAAATCTAACATTAATTGAACTTTTGGTTTGCCCTATATATGACTTGTCACATTCTAGCATCATTCTAACTAAAATCAATGGCAAAAATCAACGACTTTTCAAGCTGATAAGGAAAATTTAAAAGTAGTCTCAATTCCTTTCTCTCCCCAATATACAAGTGGACTTGATAGAGCCTTCAGGGCCGCAGATCTTCGAAGTCCGGATCAAAATTAAAAAATCTCTTGGGTAATCCCAAGGATAAACTAGATACCCTTGGAAAGTCGGGAATTTATGAAATATGTTGTAACGATCGTGACAAGTCGTTTGTAGGACAAACCAAAGGATCAATTGATGTTAGATTTAAGGAACATTTAGCTCAATTAAAATTTGCTAGATTAGAAAAATCAAGTGTAGCCGAACATATGTTCAACAATAATCATAAGGTTGATATTAGTAATTTAAAATTAGTTAAACATGTAAATAATAGTAGAAAATTAGATGCCTACGAAAGCTTAGAAATTGTTAAGAGACGGAATAAGGCACTGAACAAGGACAGAGGTCCAATCCCATTTAGCCCATTATACGCGCTGATTGGTTGCGTGAACAGTGCGTAATTCCCCCTCCCACTTCCCGATGTGTATATATATAGAGAACATTTGTTCTATTAAGTTTAGTTTTAATCTTCTCCTGAAGATGCCAACTTGGTTGGCGAAACGCGCGTCGGGTACGTAAAATTGTGTTTCGGTTTGTGGTAAAACGCGTTATTGTGTGTTATTCAGTAGTAAAGTCATCAGTTTTTTATTAAATCATTAAAACAAAGCTAGTATTTCCTTTATAAAATTAGAGTTAAAAATTCCTTTTGAAAATGGAAAGTGATAAAAAGGTCTGTCGGCCAGTGAAACCCACATTTTTTTACCACACCCATTAGTCCTATTCCGAGTCCCAAATAATTAGGGGTTAAAATTGCTTTTAAGTAGTGGTTATGAGAAAATCTGGAACTGGTTCTGCACATAATTTTTACTTCAAAAATTGCTCTCTATTGAATAGTGCCGTATCCTTTCCTTATATCCACAAAAAGTTACGTTTTCTTTATAAAATTGTACTCTAACAAAATACTTAGCAAATTGGACAATTGAATAAAAAAATAAATAGTAAAGTAGTATCCACTACCATAAACATATCTTGGGATTAGTTAAATAGAGTGTTATTTAGCGTTTCCCAAAAAGTAGACCTAGAGAGTTGCGATAAATGTATGAATGTAAATATAAAATATAATAATAATAGTACCAAATAATTAAGAAACAGGTAACCAGAGAGCAATGAGCAAAAATGGGTCACCCAAGAAGCCAATAGAACTGGTAAGATATCTTTGACGATTATTGAACGAGAAACACGTTTAGAAGATTGATTCACTATAAAGTAAACTATACATTTAAATAAAGCAACCATCGAGCTACACAATAGTGAACAAATAATAAAAAATAAAACCAACCCTCAAATAAGAGCGAGTAATCGGTTTGTTCTTCTGGTGCAACGGATGCCCCCCAGAATCGGACTAAAAGCTGTAGATGATGTTAATGGAGGAGAGACGGTGGCGGCCTCTAAACTCAAGATAGAACTACTCTGCATATCATTAATCTTAATTAAAGTTGAATTTAGTTATCTCGTGTAAGGATGCCGATGTCTATTTCATCCAACTCTCATGCGATCGCAAGACGTCGAGTATAACGATCACCTCGTTCTCGATTTTTCACCATAAAAAGAAATTCTAAAAAAATAAATAAATAAATCGCCGCGTGTAATATTCGATGTCAACAATCCTGCTTAACTAATATTATGTAAATGAAATGTAAAGAGGCTGAAAACAAGGGAATTAACGCCTGAATAAAATGGCGATGTCGATTTTCCGCTACCCAGTGAAACGTTTTAACACCCGCCATCAATTAGGAAATGAGATCATTTGTAGCGGTAAAAGGGTCCGGACTTGGGGGATGATATAACGTTACATTGTAAATATTCCACTGTATCCGAGCATGAAATTAAGTAGACTATCTTATTTTATTACTTCATCGAATGGGCTGTTCATTTGTCTCCTATAACTCGTCGGTGTTATAAAATACTAATGCCCTTACGAACGAATTAAAGCTAGTTACTATTTTAAAGCTCTCATTTAAAGAAACATCAGCGTTACATCAACACCCTTGCGGAACTTACACTACCCGTTTCTTTGTAAATAAGGGTTTAATCTAATTGAAAAGTAATCCGAATAGTTGACATCGTCGAGGCAGTTTCACTCAATTAGGCTGACGTGGTGGCTGCAGTCATCTTTAACAGTCGTATATTTGACAGAAGGGGTCCCCCGGATGATGGTCTATACTCTAGCCACCCCAACGCTAAAAGCCTTTTTGATATTACATGTTTAAATGGGGGTAAGTAATATGATTAAGAGACTATACACATAAAAGGCTGGGCGGAAATTCTTACATTATTTATATCCCGTTCAAATGTCGTATATTTAATATTGTTTTATCATATACTATTTACCTAACTGAAAGAGCAAGTTAAATCCGAAAATATTTTATTACCTAAATTACATTTTTGACAATATTTTGCCACACAAGTTACATATTTTTAAATATTCTCAATAATCCAATCATGGAAAACCGAAATGCGTTTCATCGATACTTATTTAATCGATTTAAATGCTGAAATGCTGAACAGCGCGGGTGTATGATATCGAAAGAAAATGGCAATCCTTTTCTCGAGAACACTGGTGTAAAATTGTGAATGATGAGAACCAGTCATTGTTTATAACATGATAAAAAATAGTATCATTTTTTAAAGAAACTTCCACAGGCTACTGTAATACTTTTAATAAAACTTCTGAATTCCTCCTGCATCGGTTTTTGTTTGAGTCGAACTAGCTAACGTTTCCCCAATCATCCTATTGGCTTCTTCAGAGCTTAACTGAAAACTGTTTTCT